TGTAAATGACGAACTGCAGCAGCAACGTACGAAGCCTAAGACTTTGGGATTTTTCAATAAAGAACCATTTCTCTTGCAGTCGCTGCTGATGACGGAACGTAGCAGTGGAAAGGGCGGAAAAAGTTGGGGTTCGATGCTTATGCGGGCAGAGGAGAATTAACAGAAACAACAATTAATCTCCACGGAGCGAGGTCACAGCCTACCTTATTCTGTTGACAGCGACAATGACGCAATTCGGCAGAAACGGACGCATACAGAGGTTGAGATTTTGGGGGTTTTAATTTAAAACCATTTCTCTTGACGCTGCAGCTGAACACGGGAGCGGAAGGTGCGAACAAAAGTGGGGGTCTGATGCTTATGGTGGAGAGAAGACAATGAACAGGCGTGAGTTTAAGGAGGACGCCATAGGGGTTACGGAAAGGAGCGGCCACCAAAGCTGGTCGTATGATGTTAGTGAAATATAAACGGCAGCGTTTGTGACATGAACCAAATTACCCTTCCATAAAATATAAACGGCAGCGTTTGTGACATGAACCAAATTACCCTTCCACAAAAAAAGGCCAGCCAATAGAAGTGACAGTGTTGCATTGAAGAATAGATCTGGGCTTAATCCAGCGTTGAGAAAAATAAAGACTGGGCCTTTAGTCCAATATTACATATAATAATTTCTACATTTAAGTTATGTTTTGCTTCTGATCAAACAAACACAAAACTCATTTTCAATTTCACAATTTTGTTTCTCCTTCAGTCGAGCAGATTAGGGTTTGAGATAAAAAAGAAGAGGGATCGCCATTATGAATTCCCAGATCATGTATACAAACTTAACAAGGCTTATTATGGACTTAAGCAAGCTCCTAGAGCTTGGTATGATAAGTTGAGTACATTTCTGCTAGGGAAGGGGTTTCATAGAGGAGCAGTTGACAAAATTTTGTTCATTAAAACTGAAAATACTCACACCTTGTTAGTACAGGTATATGTCGATGACATTATCTTTGGGTCATCCAGTAGTGCTCTATGCAAAGAATTTGAATAAGACATGAAAAAAGCTTTTGAAATGAGTCTCATGGAAGAACTCAACTTCTTCCTAGGACTGCAATTTAAACAATCAAAAAGGGGGATCTTCATTAGTCAAACTAAATATCTTCTAAACATGCTTAACAAATTTAAACTTAATAATCTCAAAGCTGTTGTCACTCCTATGGGATCAACTGTCAAATTAACAAAAGATGAAACCAGACTTTCTGTAGATGACAGAATGTATCGAGGTATGATATTGATTGGGTCACTACTGTACTTGACAGCTAGTAGACCAGATATTATGTTTAGTGTGTATGTATGTGCAAGATTTCACAGTTGCCCTAAAGTAAGTCATCTGACTGTTGTAAAAAGGATTTTCAGATCTCTTATTGACACCCCTCACCTCGGATTATGGTATTCCTGTGATGCTAGTCTAGAGTTAATCAGTTATAGTGATTCAGACTATGTTGGTTGCGTTGTTGATAGGAAAAGTACATATGGTACTTGTCATTTCCTAGGGACTTCTTTGATTTCTTGGGCTAGTAAAAAACAAAGCTCAGTAGCACTATCCACTGCCGAGGCAGAGTATATTGCTGCTGGACTAAGTTGCACTCAGTTACTATGGCTTAAATACCAAATTCAGGATTATGGGGTAGATATAGGCTCATTACCAGTATTGTGTGATAATACAAGTGCTATTAACATGGCTAAAAATTCGATTCAACACTCTCGTACAAAGCACATTGAAGTAAGATTTCACTTCATTCGTGACCTAGTGCAGGAAGGCAAAATCTATCTTGAGTTCATTAGCACTGACATGCAATGGGCTGATATTTTCACTAAACCCCTAGGAGCAGAAAAATTTCTTCCCATTCACCAGGAACTTGGCTTATTTACCTTGTCTGACATTGAATCCTTGGGATCTAGAGAATATAAACTTGCCTTCCCTAAGGAACATTAAATCTCTTGTCAAATCTCATCTTTTCTCATTTCTTCTTCTCGTATATTGGCTAGTGTCAATCTTTTCTTATATATAGATGAGCTTCTAGGGTTCTGTCAAATATCCATCTTCAGCCATCTCTACAAATCTCACTCCAACCTTCGTTCAAATGGCTTTCAACAATGCTCAGTTGCATCCTGCAGTTGTGTTTAACAACAAAGGCTTTCGAAATGTTGCCACCTACTCCAGATACCTTCGCAGGTTCCGCGATCGTCCCATCTATCCTTCCTTTTCCATTCAACCCTCTAGGTTTTCCAAATATGACATGGATATCCCATCACTTGTCGATGGCCTCGGCTGGAGCTCGTTGGTTAACAACATGCGCTTCAGTCACTGTCCTGAGGCAGTCTGATTGTTCTTTGTCAATCTCAAGTGTGGTCCTGGGTGTGATCCATCCTTCTTCACTACATATGTCTTTAACTATGAGATCACAGTTACTCCCACCCTCCTCGCAGCCTTGCTCAATTGTCCGCACTCTGGACTTCAGGCGGGCACAGATAGTGAGTTTGCTGCTCATGGATTTGATCTACTTGGTTCTCGGTCCCAACACACTCGTGACATATGGCAGTTCTTTGATCTTTCCCTCACCACTCGCAGCTGGTCGTCTCCCATATGACCTAAAGGTGTTACATTTCTTTATCACTAGGTGCTTCCTCCCTCGTGATCTGTCCACCACTGATATTCTTCACTCCACTGATCTCTGGATCATTTCCAATGCCAAAACCGGTTGTACAATCAAATATGCGTCTCTCATGTTTCAACACATGATTAAGTTTGGCCTGGAGTATTTTGATGGTCCGCTACCTTTTGGCCATCAGATCACCAAACTTCTATACATGCTTGGTATTGATCTGCGTGACAAAGTCACCACATGCAATGTCCTGGATGACTTACGATCGCAGCATGTGTTGGCTAAACTTGATGCTCTGGTTAGGGATGGCAATGGGTCGGGTCAGGGGCGGATAGTGCATATCCGTTACCCTACCCAAAGTACTTCGGGTTTTACCCATACCCACATGTGAAATGGGTAGAAAATCAAAACCATGCCCATACCCGTTCGGATTTCGGGTATCCACGGTTATCCATGGATATTAATCTCTCTTCATAACTCCAACCAATATGTTAACATTCACACGTATTCTTATATTAAGTAAGAGAAAAGGTACAGCAAGAATTCACTAGAATGAAGAAAATTAACTAAAACAACACAATTTCATGAAAATGTTATATTTATATGCTAAATATAAAATATGTTAGAGAAAAATAATGATTATTTCTAGACAAAATACATATACATGTGTATAATCGGGCGGGTTCGGGTCGGATAGTGAGAAATCCATGCCCACCCATTACCCGCAATATTCAGGTTCGGGGACCTATCAATCTGAACGCCTAGCTGGTGCTTTGGTTGATGCAGTTGTATCTGTAATCAAACGAGAAACATCAGGTTCAAGGAAACAGACTGCTACTCTGAAACTGCTTAGGCAACAGTTTGATGTGGCCCAAGTTTGTGTATGAATCCGGAGCAGTTAATGACCCCATGAGCTCTAACTCAGAACCTGATGAGGAAGACAGCATCTCAGAGTATGAGTCTCCTCTAAAGTATCAGTTCTAGGAATAAGTCAGTTGTGTAGGGAGAGTTTCAAGAGTCTTAGTATGTATTAGGATGATTGAGTCATGCTGAGTTCTGGTTTATTGGATGTGTCTGTGGAGTCTCGTGATTTACTTATGCTTTAATAATGAATAAAAGAAATTCTCCTGAATGTTTCCTCTTGCTGTCCAAATAAGACATTGTTGTTACAACCTTGGTTTATTTGTTAGAACAGGCTGCACCAACTGTGTGTTAAGTGTGTGCAGGTGATAAAAGGAGCCAATGACAAGCTTAGGGGGAGTTTGTTAGATGAAGCTTGGTCAATGGCAATGACAAATAAAGGAAAGAAGAAGAACAGAGGAGCTGGGGAAACAATAAAAGGAAAGAGATGATATGGCGATCAATCAGACTCATCAACGAGACCACAATTGATTTTCCAAATCAATCAGACAACGACCATCAAACTCAAAGCATATAAGCCAGCAAATCAGATTGGAACAACAACCCTTTCAGGCAAAAACTCAAAGTTTGGAGATTGAGAGAATTGTCTAAGTTTTGAGTGAAAGGAAGTGTGAACTGTCGAGAGTGATAGTTTGATTGATCCTCAAGGTGAACTGAACAGGGAGCAAAGTTCTATTAGGGATTCTGATCTTGTGAACGGGGAGTCACAGAGAGATTGAAGCTTGTAATCTGTAATCGGATCAACTACCATAGTGCAACGTCAAAGGACTCAAATCAGAGTACCTTTAGTCGATACTGAATTCTCAGTATCGAAAACCACGTAAAAAAATTCCTTGTGTCAAGTTTACTTAATTGCTGGCACACTAATTCTGCATGTTACTCTTGGTTCTACAGGAACACTCTGTTTTGCAGGACTTGGTATTGACAGGGAAGCTTGATCGAGCAGGAAGAGACAGAGGAAACGGTGTCGCATTGAAGAATGGAGCTGGGCTTAATCCAGCTTTGAGAAAAATAAAGACTGGGCCTTTAGTCCAATATCACATATAATCATTTCTACATTTAAGTTATGTTTTGCTTCTGATCAAACAAACACAAAACTCATTTTCAATTTCACAATTTTGTTTCTCCTTCAGTCGAGCAGATTAGGGTTTGGGATTAAAAAAAAGAGGGATCGCCCTTACAGTTAACCCCATCCCTAGCCAAAGCTTGAATCTCTTCAAAGAAGAATAAACTAGTACTTCAATTTATTTTAGGGATTGGAGTAAAGTAATTTTTGACAAGTGAACCAATCTCGCGTAATTTACTAATTCTCTTTTTCTCTGCTCCTCTTCATTATCTCACATGATCATATGTACTCGAGAGTTCTAAATACAAACATAGAAACCATGAATTCAAATGTCTAACTCGCAACGGTGTTCAGAAAGAAAAATAGCCTGGATTCGATTCTCATAATACAGAACATAAACCATCAAAGACCTAACCTTCATGTCTCAATTAGTGCAGAGACCATCAAAGTGTTAAGCAACTTAGGCAGAACGCCACCATTGATGCTCGATTCTTCATCTACGCAACTAGAGAATAGTGCAGAATATTAACATACCACAAAACAAGAAAATAGTTGAACGATTGCTCTTAAAATGTTGTTTCTTTTTTCGACAACAAGTTAAGAGATTGACAAGTCTCCCTACTCATTTCTTCCCAGCTAATCAGTCAATGTCTACCCTATTAATTAACATATTCATTAAGTAAATGAACCAGCAGGGAAACTTGGGGTATTCAGAGATATCAAACCAAATCCACAAGTTACAGAACCCAGAAATGTCAAATACAGTAAAGTCAGCATTCCTTCTCGCTTTGGCAGCATAACACGTTGAAGAGAGCATCTTGGCCAACATGATGAACAACACCTGGGAGAGAAAGGAATACAGCAAAACAGAGATCAGTTATCCCCCCCCGACTAGAGAACTTCATAGAAACTGCACCCTCCATGAACAGAACCAACAAGAAAACAAACTAGAGAAAAACAAAGCAAAACCAGAGCTGCAGAAAATGCCATTCCTTTCATTTGTTCACTATAATTAGACAACTATAAGAATTAGCGAGACGAGGACTGATCATGTGGAGCTACAATAAGAGAATCTACAACGCTAATACAACGGGGAACACAGATACTGAGTGGCGAACGGACTTACCAATAATAGCACAATGACAATACCCTCTGGAAGTCCATATCAACCAGTCTACATACATTCCATCGCTGATTACAGGATGAGACAATCATTGAGCATTGAGTTGTTAAAAGGATGATAATGAGAAAAGCAAACACAGACAGACATGCATATGCAGTAACAAGTGTAAGAGTACAGGAAGAAGAAAGGAACTCACCGTAGTTGGCAGCAGGAGTAAAGACATATAGAGGCATACGATTCGTTAAGAAAGGATTTTCGTATAGTGTATGGGACAAGATCTCGCAGTCATAGCTTGATTCACCAAGGGTGGCAATATCATTGTCAGCATCCATGGCAGCAACATCAGAGTTCTGCCGCTGGCCTTCACACAACTTAAACTTACAGGCCAAGAGGTACTCAGTTACATTAGAACCTAGTAACCACAGAAAGAGACAAAACAAGTTATCATCATCAGGCAACAAACGCATCACCCACCCCGCACCTCCAATATAATCTGAGTATTTATCAGTCAGAAGTTTTTCCAGCTCTGGCAGAGCTGTCACAATCCTTTCGAGATATTCACGATGCTCTAGTTTTCCAAGGTACCTCTTCCCACTCAAATCCGTCAAGCTCGTAAACCCAACAAAGTGCATCAACTCGGAACCAGAGCTATCAACATGCACTACAAACAATTTATCCCTGGAAATATCATTCAAATATCTCCAGAATCGATCAAGGGGCTCTAGAAAAGGACAATCTGCGCGTTCTTCTACTTCAGTCCACTCATGGGTCTTTATGTCGAAACAGAACAGACGTTGGTTATAATTCCATTGTCCAGCAGTAATCTGGATATAGAGACGATTCCCTACCACAGCATGAGATGTGGAATTGGGAGTACAACCGACATAACCATAGGTGTCGTCCCAAAGGGTAGAGATAGCTTTACATTTATACAGGCCACCGTTGTCCTCTGATGGGAGATCTAACAGCTCACAATACGGACCCTTAACTGGTGGATCCCGACTATCTCCAAGTCGCAAACGACCAGTTGCAATGACTAAAATCTGCTTTGTTTCTGGGAACGGAATGACAATAGGAGATATCTTAGGTCCAATCAGCTGACCAGCCTTGCGAAATTCGTAGGGCTGGCTCGCGTCGTTGAGATCACAGACAAAGAAATCTACAGATTCCACCTTAGCAAAATGACCAAATCCATACAGTTTCAAATCTACCAATGCGAAACCCATACCTCTGCTCATGCTTCTGTGCAAGGTCGCGACCCTTCTATCCATTAGACCCTCCTTGATATTCATCAGATCCACCGACGCATCTTCATTATTTATATCAGAGAGCACCATCCCAAAATCCCACCAATGCTCCTTCTGCTTCGACGGCTCCTGCATAGTGATCTCTTGCGGCGAAGATTCTGCAACATGATCGTGATCGATTAGGGTAGCAGCCAAGTTTTCTACGCGAGTCTCGGGGGAACGAATCATCGATCTTTCTGCCGCCTCAGTCCCGTCACATTCCCTCAAATCCACAGCACGCAAGCAACCACGGCAGCAGACTGTCGAGTTCGTCGGCAATGGCGGCGACGCGACCGCAGTTGCCTTAGGACTTGGAAGTTGGAACTGGGCCTTTCTTTTCACCGTGCTGGCCTTCAGTCATAACACAAAAGTCGTCTCCTAGGCCTAAATGTATGGTGTATAATGTTTTGGGCCTTTTGAAGCCCAATACTTAGTGAAGTCCGGCCCGTAAATGATAATGATTTGTCAATAATCGAGGGACAAATTTATTATATTACGTCAGCCATAGAAAGGCAGGGTCCTGTTGGGCAAAGTGATTGACAGGTGGAGGTTTTTTTTAATAACATTTTCTACAAATTTACGATTTCAAATTAACAAATTAATTTATTCATCTACTAAATTTTTGCACATCATACTCTTTTACTATTAATGTACCCTTCTGTCTAATTATTTGTTAAGTATCCGTTTAATAAACTGAGAAATGACATAATTGCCCCTCACTAATTTTTTAAATTATTTTATGTCTCAAATCAATTTAAAAATTAAGAGTAATGTCTATTTTTATCCAAATCTTTTTCAGATTCTTTTATATTATCCAAACATACTAGTGTGGCCCCGGCCAGTTGGCCGGAGGAAGGTGAGGTATGAAATTTGATAATGTAATGGGATGTATAGCTTATTGTTGTATAGTTTTTTTTGGGAAATGCGTGATAAAAATAGTGAATTTAAGTAGGAAAGAGACATGAATGATGCAAAGAATAAAAAATTGGCTTTATGAACCAAAATCAAGTACATGTTACCTTGTGAAACAATATGGTTTCTGGTAATATGATGAGGTGGAGTAAGTTTTATAGAAACCGAATTCCAGAAAATCGAATAAAAAATCGCTTATCCCGTCGGTTTTCGGGAAATGAGCATCTCACAATCGTTGCTAGCTTTTACTCGGCCCGTTGGCCGATTAATTTGCTTCATAAAACTTTCATCTTGTCGTCATTGCTTTCTCGTTTTTGTCGGGCCATGATAAAATCTAAGGAAATCAAGAACGAACAACACAATTTGGGATAGGAACCGTCGTTGTCATATCCCTAGAAAATGGTGGTAAACACGGACTCACCTGCCAAACTGGTTTGGATTGAGATTTTTATCGGGTATTGGGGAACCATGTGATTATAAATTAGACTTGATCAAACGGGCAAAAACTTGAAATTCAGCATGTTTGACCGACCCATGCCAAATTCTAATTATTCTTTACTTTTAAACTTTCTATTTGAAAATAAAAAATAGTGAAAGAAAAGAGATTACTGCAATTCGCCATTTGCACATCACTTATTCGGGAATAAAACCATAGAAATTCAAAATAAACTGAAAATGTTTAGGATTGTTTTAATGTTGAAAATAACCAAATAGATCTTTCTGTTTAGTTTTTTACTAACAAATATCAAACGATTCCCTATAAAATACACTATAATTTGATCATTATGATATCAAATAGTCATATAATATATATTTGAAATGATAAAAATTGGACTAATTGGGTTGGTCGAGGTTGAATCATTGAATAACTTTAAAATACATTATATTTTAGCCACTAAGATATAAAATAATAACATAATATATATTATGCCAGATAAAATAGCTTGTTTTAGAATGTCAAACCAATGATGTTCATTTGTTTTACTTGATGGCCAAATCCCGTGTAGGTCAGACCTATTCAACTCTTTTATTTTATGGTTAGCGGTTAGCCCATTAGATACCATGCATTAGTTTATTGTTATATTTTTTATTTTTAGCAATAAAAAGAAGTATTATTTTTTCCTTTTCATATATATTTTATCACCACGGAGAAATAAAAGGCCTACCCACCGGATAACCACGGGTATTCGGGGTACCATGAGTACGAATCCTAAACTATGAACTTATACACATATATGCACATACATACTGTTGTCCATTAAAAATTCTCAATACTTCTTTATAAAAAAAAATTCTAAATACTTGTAATTGTTCGAGCTTCAACAATCCACACAAATAAAAATAGAAAACACATAATAATTGTTCTTGCTTCTAGAATCCACACAAACATAATAATCGTCTGCATCTTCATCATCAATAATGGTAGCTAAACTCAATTTCTCAAGCTAATCTAAATTTCTCAAGGGAAATTGACCCTTTGGTTAGCGGGGCGGGTATAACGGAGCGGGTATTATCGATTACCACACCCGTACCCTACCCTTTATTTTGAAACCGGGTATTACCCGTACCCGCCTCTTAACCCGTCAAAGCGGGTAATTACCATCGTTGACCGGTTACGGTCGGGTAGGGTACCCATGGTTACGGGTTGGATTGACATCCCTACTTCCAATTAGCAATTTTGTTAGTAATATTGACTTGGCAACACGATAATGACTTGGAAGAGATACATGAAGGTCAACATTCCAAAATTTTAGTATTTTAACTAAGAAAAGAGTTATAAAATTATTAACTATAACGTAAAGGCTAATATTTTATGCATTATGAAAGGTTTAGCTAATTAATAAAATTTTAATATGTTTGGATAATATAAAAAATTCTGGAAAAGATTTGGATAAAAATAGACATTACCCTTAATTTTTAATTTGATTTGAGACATAAAATAATTAAAAAAATTAGTGAGGGCAATTAGGTCATTTCTCAGTTTATTAAACGGATACTTAACAAATAATTAGACAGAAGGGTACATTCGTTACGTTTTAATAGTAAAATTGTATGGTGTGCAAAAATTTAGTAGATGAATACATTTGTTAATTTAAAATAGTAATAACCTAGAAAATGCTATTAAAAAAAAACTCCACCTGTCAATCACTTTGCCCAACAAGACCCTGCCTTTCTATGGCTGACGTAATTTAGTAATTTTGTCCTGACAAATCATTATCATTTACGGGCCGGACTTCACTAAGTATTGGGCTTCAAAAGGCCCAAAACATTATACACCATACATTTAGGCCTAGGAGAAGACTTTCTTTTGTATGATAACTGAAGGCCAGCAGCCCAGCACGGTGAAAAGAAAGGCCCAGTTCCAACTTCCAAGTCCTAAGGCAACTGCGTCTGCGTCGCCGCCGTTGCCGACGAACTCGACAGTCTGCTGCCGTGGTTGCTTGCGTGCTGGGGGTTTAAGGGTTTAATTTATGGTCAGGATGTCTGTGGATTTGGGGGAATGTGACGGGACTGAGGCGGCAGAAAGATCGATGATTCGTTCCCCCGAGACTCGCGTAGAAAACTTGGCTGCTACCCTAATCGATCACGATCATGTTGCAGAATCTTCGCCGCAAGAGATCACTATGCAGAAGCCGTCGAAGCAGAAGGAGCATTGGTGGGATTTTGGGATGGTGTTCTCTGATATAAATAACCGAGATGCGTCGGTGGATCTGATGAATATCGAGGAGGGTCTAATGGATAGAAGGGTCGCGACCTTGCACAGAAGCATGAGCAGAGGTATGGGTTTCGCATTGGTAGATTTGAAACTGTATGGTTTTGGTCATTTTGCTAAGGTGGAATCTGTAGATTTCTTTGTCTGTGATCTCAACGACGCGAGCCAGCCCTATGAATTTCGCAAGGCTGGTCAGCTGATTGGACCTAAGATATCTCCTATTGTTATTCCGTTCCCAGAAACAAAGCAGATTTTAGTCATTGCAACTGGTCGTTCCCGACTTGGAGATAGTCGGGATCCACCAGTTAAGGGTCCGTATTGTGAGCTTTTAGATCTCCCATCAGAAGACAACGGTGGCCTGTATAAATGTAAAGCTATCTCTACCCCTTGGGACGACACCTATGGTTATGTTCACGGTTCTACTCCCGATTCCACATCTCATGCTGTGGTAGGGAATCGTCTCTATATCCAGATTACTGCTGGACAATGGAATTATAACCAACGTCTGTTCTGTTTCGACATAAAGACCCATGAGTGGACTGAAGTAGAAGAACGCGCAGATTGTCCTTTTCTAGAGCCCCTTGATCGATTCTGGAGATCTTTGAATGATATTTCCAGGGATAAATTGTTTGTAGTGCATGTTGATAGCTCTGGTTCTGAGTTGATGCACTTTGTTGGGTTTACGAGCTTGACGGATTTGAGTGGGAAGAGGTACCTTGGAAAACTAGAGCATCGTGAATATCTCGAAAGGATTGTGACAGCTCTGCCAGAGCTGGAAAAACTTCTGACTGATAAATACTCAGATTATATTGGAGGTGCGGGGTGGGTGATGCGTTTGTTGCCTGATGATGATAACTTGTTTTGTCTCTTTCTGTGGTTACAAGGTACTAATGTAACTGAGTACCTCTTGGCCTGTAAGTTTAAGTTGTGTGAAGGCCAGCGGCAGAACTCTGATGTTGCTGCCATGGATGCTGACAATGATATTGCCACCCTTGGTGAATCAAGCTATGACTGCGAGATCTTGTCCCATACACTATACGAAAATCCTTTCTTATGGAATCGTATTCCTCTATATGCCTTTACTCCTGCTGCCAACTACAGTAAGTTCCTTTCTTCTTCCTGTACTCTTACACTTGTTACTGCATATGCATGTCTGTCTGTGTTTGCTTTTCTCATTATTATCATCCTTTTAACAACTCAATGCTCAATGATTGTCTCATCCTGTAATCAGCGATGGACTGTATGTAGACTGGTTGATATGGACTTCCAGAGGGTATTGTCATTGTGCTATTATTGGTAAGTCCGTTCACCACTCAGTATCTGTGTTCCCCGTTGTATTAGCGTTGTAGATTCTCTTGTTGTAGCTCCACATCCTCAGTCCTCGTCTCGCTAATTCTTATAGTTGTCTAATTATAGTGAACAAATGAAAGGAATGACATTTTCTGCAGCTCTGGTTTTGCTTTGTTTTTCTCTAGTTTGTTTTCTTGTTGGTTCTGTTCATGGAGGGTGCAGTAGTTTCTATGAGGTTCTCTAGTTGTGGGGGGATAACTGATCTCTGTTTTGCTCTATTCCTTTCTCTCCCAGGTGTTGTTCATCATGTTGGCCAAGATGCTCTCTTCAACGTGTTATGCTGCCAAAGCGAGAAGGAATGCTGACTTTACTGTATTTGACATTTCTGGGTTGTGTAACTTGTGGATTTGGTTTGATATCTCTGAATACCCCAAGTTTCCCTGCTGGTTCATTTACTTAATGAATATGTTAATTAATAGGGTAGACATTGACTGATTAGCTGGGAAGAAATGAGTAGGGAGACTTGTCAATCTCTTAACTTGTTGTCGAAAAAAGAAACAACATTTTAAGAGCAATCGTTCAACTATTTTCTTGTTTTGTGGTATGTTAATATTCTGCACTATTCTCTAGTTGCGTAGATGAAGAATCGAGCATCAATGGTGGCGTTCTGCCTAAGTTGTTTAACACTTTGATGGTCTCTGCACTAATTGAGACATGAAGGTTAGGTCTTTGATGGTTTATGTTCTGTATTATGAGAATCGAATCCAGGCTATTTTTCTTTCTGAACACCGTTGCGAGTTAGACATTTGAATTCATGGTTTCTATGTTTGTGTTTAGAACTCTCGAGTACATATGATCATGTGAGAGGGGTGGGCAATAGGTGGATTGGGTGGATTTTGGTCTAAAATTGACCCACCCGCTTACTAGCTGGTTTGAATACATGTGACCCGCAATCCACCCACATACTTATGCGGGTTGGGTTGGGGGGTGGCGGATTAGTGCGGTTGGATCGCGGGTTAACCCGCAAAAGCAATTCTTCAACTAGGCATTATGAAAATTAAAACAAAACCCTAAGCTAATCCCCTCCAACCTTTCGGTTGGGTTAAAGTGTCAACAGCATGTCACCATGTGCACCCGGAGAAAAAAAGGGGACAAAGAGTCCAGTTGAATCAATCATGTGATATGACTCGTTAAACCCACCCTACATTTGCCCTAAACAACTTAGAACCAAAAAAAATCCCTCACTCTAAATAGGGAAATATATAATTCACATGGTATAAACTCTATTGAGTTGTCCTTTGAGAAAATTTCCGCATCAAGGATGACATATTTATTAGTTATAGGGTTGTAGTCCTGATTGAATTAATCTTTAGTTTAGGACTATATATCCATCCGTGGTTAACAATATTATTATTATAACAGAATTGTTGTGACTCCATTGTTTTAGATAAAAGGCTTCGAATTAGAACTAAAGTTCGATAACCACACAAATGATAACAAAATCTATCTGCCCATTCTCAGTCTACATACTCTTCCCAGTACTTGTGGTGTAAGCTCTAGTTTGAGAACGGGAACCGAACTTTGAACCGGAAAAGTTAGTGATTTATAATTAAATAATTAATCGCTGATAGAACCGTTAATGCGCTTATGACATAAAAAAAATACAAATAATAAGCTATTTTAGGACTAAATTTATTACTATCCATAAACAATTTCAATTCCATATCACCCCTGTCATCACCAATACTTCGTACAAATCATTCAACTCATCTCACAAAAGAAATCATAAATTTTTTTATTAAAGTCAATTTCACATCACCCATGCCATCACCAATAAAGGAACTCGAGAAATCAAGAAAAGGATGCATAAATAAAATTAGTAATTCAGGCGGGATTGTCTTAGACTCTTAATTTACATTTTTCCCCCCTTCTTTTCTTGATGTTTTTTTGGGTGTGGTTAAAAACAGTGAACTAGTGGATCGATCATTCCCAGCCGTCTAAGAAGAGGATGCACAAATAAAAACCCTTTGGTTCATCCTAACCGTTTAAACCAATAGATTGAACAACTAACCGATTTAGCATTTCTATTGCCTTTGATCATCAATACAATGGGCCAGAAAATTGAGAGAGGTACGTATAGCCTCTCCCATCACTTCAACACCATCCACGTCGTCATTACTACACATGCTATTAGAGAGTTTCAAGTCTTCGATAATTGGGTTAATTACTTTCTGAATTCCAGCCATAGCTATCGGCTGGATATTGGATCTTCGAAGATCATGGCAGAGACTTTGGCGGGGGGAAAAAAGGTTGAATAAATTTGCAGGATCAGGATTTTCCCCAGAGAGATTAATGACTTAATTAACTAACCAACACGATCAACGCCAGTTTCCCGGGAATTAAAATTCAATTCCCCAGTTTGTTTGTTATTATTATTTTATTTTATTTTTCCCGTCGTCGTCGTCCCCGCCATGGAATTGACCACTAACTGTAATTGGACGTATCTGATGAGAACCGGCCGCCAAAGGTTTCAAAGATAAACCGACATATCACACCGTATAAATTCACCTTCTTTTTCAAAACTGTCGTAAGCAGTTTTAGAGAATATTTTGGAAGAATTTCCGACTGATTGAAGAAGAAAGAAGAAGATCTTGTCTCTCTCTCTCTCTGCTGCATAAAGGGGATTTATATTTATATTATAGGCTGATGAGTCATCAGAGAGAGTCGAGGATTACCGTTAACTTCCCCTAATTTCACGGGCATTGCACATGCTTCTCCTGTTTAACTTCTTTGGAGGATTGGGATTTAATTAAAGACTCATGACCCCATTGATTGATTTCATTTCACGTGGTGAAATTTCACTACACCAACCCTATGAACACACTTGTCAAAGAACCTACGGGTCGTTTGCTTCATGGATTTGAAAAATGAGGGTTTTGGTAAAACTTGGGTTTTGGAAAACCATGGATATATGATGGATTGTGTGGTATTATGGATTTGAACAAGTCTATTGTTTGCTTGATGGATTTGATTATGGACTTTGTTTGATTAGATTTGTGGATATTAAATACAAATTACCTTGTTATCCTTATTTAATTATATTTCTATATTATAATCCAAATCTTTCATTTAAAACTAATCCAAAACATAGAAAGAAATTTTAAACTCTTTACCACTATGTGGATTAATAATTCAACTACAAATATAGAAATGTATTACAATTTGGCACTAATTAACAATTCATCTAATAATGTACGCATTATTATGTATCAACTGCAACCAATTGCTCGCTTTATTGCTACAACTCATCATCTTCTTGCTAACACACCGATGTGGAATCCGACAGTCAATCAAATAATAATGCACAAGATGAGCATAAAGTGTTTTTAGGTGAATCTAACAAATCACATATACATTCATATTTAAATAAAATACGATATTACAAAACGAAATGATAAATTCTCATATTTATAAAATACGAAATTATAAAAGTTTATAGTTGCATGACCATTGAATTAAAGTAGGAAAACTTTATTAAAGAAATAATTAAGAGTAGAATGGTAATTTACCATCATGGATTTTAATCCATCACCCAAATCCCACCTCAAGAGGTGGAACTTCAAAGTCCGTGGGGTCCACGGATTTGGAACTCCAAAAGAGGTGGGCCCCACAAATTCCATCTTCCTAATTCCCTAAGGCAAACGATGGATTTCGGTTCAAGTCCATGATGGATATATTTCCATGACCAAATCCATCACCAAAACCCTCAAGCAAACGACCCGCTAGTGACATAACGTGGAGCAAAAATATTGGTCCTGCGAGGGGCAATATTGTAAGGAAGCAGTTAAGTTCTCTCCCAATTAGGGCTGGAAGTTTGGTACCGGTATTTGGGATATACCGAATATCGTACCGAATTTGTCTATATTTGGTATTACCGAATACACGTATTATTTTGTGGGATTGGGATTGGGATTGAGTTTCAATTGTTATTCGGTATTAGGGATTACGGGATTGGGATCGGTATATACAGAAATACCGATCAATACCGAAATATAAGCTAGTGTGTATTTTATCCTCTCAACTAGACTCTCTCATTCACTACTACGCGACCCTCAACCACCAAGAGTGTCATTTAATTATACATAGATCATTATATAGCTATTTCACACTAGTATTAGTCGTTTCTCAACCTCAAATTCATCAAATTAAAGATTACCAATTACAAAAACTTGAGATGTTAGCTCTAGGAAACTCAAGACTCTTTGCTTAGTCTCTTTGCCCTAAATTAAACAATAAAATCTAATTTATATATTTAATTATTAATTGCAAAAGTAATTAATTTTGTATTTGATAATACCGATTGGGATACCGAGTTACCGATTGGGATACCAAAATATTTAGGGATTGGGATTGGGATACCGAAATTATTTAGGGATTGGGATTGGGATTGATTTCAGGGTGTAATTCGGTATTCGGGATTTCGGTATTTGGTATTGGGATACCGATACCGTACCGATTTCCACCCCTACTCCCAATGACGGACTCATGAATTTTACATAGGGATGTCCTCTTTTAAAAAATAAATTAAATAAAAATAATTCTTAAATAATTAATAAAAATTAAATAATTCTTATATAACAAAATACCCGAATCGTACGAGTTAAAAAAGTCCACGATTTGTTTTCATATTCGAAAATAACTGTAAATACACTTGGTGTCTACACTGCTCAAATTTTTTTTATCTTTGTATATCCTATTAGAATCATTCATGAATTGATTACATATTCGATTTTTGCACTTGTTCTTGATGTAACCCAAAGTTGAAAAGACTCTTTCACACTCATCTTACAACGGTGTTTAAAATTAATTTGTTTAATTGTTATATTTTGAAAATAATTAGAGATAGGGAATAACATTTCTCTATTACACAGTGTTTAAAATCGAACAACAAATGAGTTGTAGTCTAAAGAAAATTATTTTTATTAATAATATAGTGTCCTAGATTTAAATTACTCAAACTATAACTTATATTTCCATAAGCAAACTAAAAGATGAGAGCATGATAATTATTTTTTCAAATTTCAGGGGTGTCCTTGACTATCAATTATAACTTTTTTGTCCATACGTAATTTACCACCGGGGATAGGATAATCATTTTCCCAAAATTTAGGGGGTGTCTCGTGACTAGGGATGGCAAAAATATCCGTAACCGTGGATATCCGCCCGAATCCGGCCTAGTCGGGTATGGTAAAACCCGAACCCGAAGGACATTTAGTGGTTACGGGTAAAACCCGAACCCGATTATTGCGGGTAATGGGTGGGCATGGATTTCTCACTATCCGACCCGAACCCGCCCGATTATACACATGCATATGTATTTTGTCTAGAAATAATCATTATTTTTCTCTAACATATTTTATATTTAGCATATAAATATAACATTTTCATGAAATTGTGTTGTTTTAGTTAATTTTCTTCATTCTAGTGAATTTTTGTCGTACTTTTTCTCTTACTTAATATAAGAGTACGTGTGAATGTTAACATATTGGTTGGAGTTATGAAGAGAAATTAATATCCATGGATAACCGTGGATACCCGAAACCCGAACGGGTATGGGCATGGTTTTAATTTTCTACCCGTTTCACATGTGGGTATGGGTATGAGTAAAACCCGAAGTACTTTGGGTAGGGTAACGGATATGCACTATCCGCCCCCGACCCGACCCATTGCCATCCCTACTCGTGACACCCCCAATGAGCTGTATGTCCACCCCTGGTCTCTTCTAACAACTCGAGTTATTGGGACCAGTTGGTTTATGACAAATATAAGATTTTTATTTTTAAACTTGTTCCAACGCAACCTGAGCTATTAGTTATATGATTCATTGATTCTTGGTATATGGTTTACTGTCTTTAAACTAGAAGTTATTTTTGAATCATCATGATCTCGAAAACATTAACAATTGATTTATACATAAATTACAAAGACTATGTAAACTTCTTTTTTTTATGCCAAAAGATCGCTCGTATTACCGAGAAAACAGTCAGATACAAAATAGTCACATAGCTGAAAACAGCCAAAAAACAAAATTGAACCCCACCAAAGAAGAGGACAACGAAAGAGCTTTTCTTGCCACCAAATAGGCAACCCTATTAGACTCCCGACCCACAAAAATAACCCGAAACTCCTGGAACAAGTCACGCATACTTCGAATCTCCTCCAACAGCATCCCTCCATGAACATCATCTACCTCACCATCCCGGATCTTCCCCACGTTCACTTGGGCGTCACCTGCAAAAATCATCAGTGGGAATCCAAACGCCAAGCACCATCGAAGCGCATCCCGGAAGGCCAGTAATTCCACAAGAGCCGGCTCCCAAATCCCCACATACAGTGATGCTGATGCTGCCACCACCATGCCTGTGGGATCCTGAAGAGCCCAACCTCCCGCTCCATGTGAACCAGGCGCCGTAGCTCCATCCACGAACATGACGAACTCTCCCAACGGAACATCCTCACAGCCTCTGACACCCGAGCCCCCTGAGTAACGACAAACACCTCGGCCGGTAAGTATGTCATCCCACTCTTCAACCTGCAAACGAAATTGAGATAACAACACCGGAACAATGTACTGAGTCAACTCAAAGACCACCCAATTATGGGCCTTCCAAATGCGCCAGAAAAGGGCGACAATATGCATCATGGCCCCCTGATCAAGCTCCCGCCACTCGAGTAACCTGCACCAAAAGATCCCAACATTGCAATGGGGGAAGCGATCGTGAATGGCCAGTAGCTCCGCCCCTTCCCACAACTCCACCGCTACTCTGCAGCGGAAGAAGAGATGTTCAAGATATTCCCCCTCCTCCCCGCAGACTGGACATGGCTCCAGCCCCCCTACCCCCCGAGTACTCAGTGCCTCACCAGTTGGCAAGACACCGCGAACCATCTGCCATATGAAATACCGCAACTTGGGAGGTATGGGAGCCCACCAAACCCTTTTCCATAGACTACGATCTCACACCTGCACTTTCGCCTTCACCCTTAACTCCTTATACCTCATTAGCTCCACTGCTAGGTGATAGCCAGACTTGACCGTATAGCGACCTGATTGCTCCCCATTCCAAACCATACGATCAGACACCGGAGAAATAGGCAACAGAATAGCCAGAATAGCTCAGACAGTATCCTACTCAAAGATCTGACTTAGGCAATCCACCCTCCAAACCCCTTGATTCGGGCAAATTAAAGATGCAACTGATCTCTCGACCCTAATGATCCCCGGACGAGGTGTCGGGGGATATGGATGCAACGTTGGCACCCAATTGTCCGTTAGCACATCTATCGACTCGCCCGAGCCAACTTGTCATCGCAGACCTTGGACCAGCAAATCACGTCCATGCAACACCCCCCGCCAGCCCCAAGAAGGTAAAGATCCAGCCTTGGCCACCAGAATAGAGGAGTTGGGAAAGTACTTACCCTTAAACACCCGAGCTAACAGAGAATTAGGCTCTTTCCAAATTCGCCACGCCACCTTTTCCAACAAAGCCTGATTAAACTCCTCAAAACGCCTAAAACCCAAACCTCCTTCATGTTTACTTAAGCACAACGATTTCCAAGAAACCCAATGAATCCGTCGCTCACCCTGTTTCACTCCCTACCAAAATCTAGCCAAATGCCTATCCAGCAAACGACACAGTGACAGAGGTAGAAGGAAGCAAGACATTACATAGATAGGCAAAGCATTAGCAACAGACTTAATAAGGACTTCCTTAGCAGCCCATGATAAACATCGTTGTTTCCACACCTGGAGGCGTTGAATAACTTGCTCCTCAATATACCTATAGGTATCATATTTAGAGCGCCCCATCTCTTCTCTATCAGCTGCTAACGTATTTCTGCTAAAACAAACCGCTGACTTAGATAGATTGACTTTTTGACCACTGAGCTCCTCATACTGCTTCAGAACCCCAACAAGGTGTCCACATTCAGATCGTGAAGCTCGTAGGAACAAATGCGAGTCATATGCGAGACAACAGGGCACCGGGGGCTAATACGAAGACCGGTCAAAACACGATTTGAGATCGCTTGCCGGAGCAAAGCAGCGAAACCCTCGATGCAGATAGCAAACAGTAGCAGAGATAAGGGATCACCCTGCCGAAGACCTCTCGTCGCACTAAAATACCCTGAAGGCTTTCCATTCATCAAAACAGAAAATGTCGGAGAAGACACACACGCCCGTAGTCATTTGATCCATTGCGCACTGAAACCAAGTTTCTCAAGCAATGCGAATAAAAATGGCCATTCCACCCGATTATATGCCTTCTCCATATCAACCTTAAATGCCATGAAATTCTGTTTACCTACCCTCTTATTCTTCAGGTACTGCATAACCTCGTGCTCGATCAAGACATTATCCACAATCTGCCTACCACGAACAAAACCATTCTGCCCCGGGGACACAATAGACGGTAAGTAGCGGGCCACCCGTTCAGCCAAAATTTTGGCTATGACTTTGTAGGAAAATTGACAAAGACTAATAGGACGTAGATTCCGCATATGTTCTACTCTGTCAACCTTCGGAATAAGAACAAGCCAAGTATGATTACAATTCTTAAGGAGAGAGCTCGTAATAAAGAAGTGAGTGACTGCCTCTATTACGTCCTGTCCTACAATGTCCCAAAACTGTCGAAAAAACACACCAGTAAATCCATCCGATCCCGGGGCTTGCGTAGCACCTATCTGAAAGACGTTACGCCGGATTTCCTCAGGGGACACTGTAGCCGTTAGTTATGTAAACTTCAAACTCGCGAAAACATTAAAAATTGATTCACCATACACATATTCAGCTAAAAAATAATATAAAATGACAAATAACATAACACATTATTATTCAATACTTTCAGAAATTCGGTGGTTGGTTGATGATCATGTGGCGCGAGAACTTCATCAACTGTTAACTGACACTCCTATCTAATAAATTAAGTACATTATAATTTGATGAATTATTAGCTATATAAACATAGCTTCCGGAAACAAGCAACCAATTAAACAATTGGGACTGGATATATCAAATAAACCTTATTTAATTTCTTATAATAAGGACATATGGCCCTCCATTTTCCATATCACATACGAAATCAAAGAACCATGCACATGGGATAGGGCTGGGAATCGTTGCAGTTTGCTGTTAACCGCAACCGAAATGTAGCAATTTACGCCAATCGCGACCGCACCGTAAATGGTTTGCGGTTATCCACTAACCGCAGAGTACTAAACATTCTTATGATTTAAGGACATTTTGGTCTATAGTTGTGTCACTGTGTTACGTTTAACCGCGGTTAACCGTTGGTAACCGCATTAGTAATCGATTAAAGTGCGGTTACTTGTTAACCGCAAACATGCAATATTGCTAACCGCGACCGCAAAATACCCTATTTTTTTCGGTTTGCAGTTAACCACTAACCGCACGCGATTTCGTTACAAGTAGCGGTTTAACCGCAAAACCGCAACCGAATTCCCACCCTATACATGGATTCAATCAAAACTCTGATTTCACTCTATAAATACCGGCAGAGATATGGAAAGCAAACCACCCCACACAACTACATACTCTCCCTTCACTAGCACTAAGAAAAAATAATGTCGCTTTCAGCTTCCACTCTTCCACCAATGGCCACTCTCCGCCTCGTATTCACCCTCTACTGTTGCTCCCTCGTCTTGCTCTCCAACTTTGACCTCTCCTCTTGCTCCCGACCCTTCAAGTCCTCCACCGGCCATTTCAACCAGTCCATCAACGCCGAGCTCGCTCGGTGGTCACCCGCCGGCGCCACCTGGTACGGCAGCCCGGACGGTGCAGGAAGCGACGGTACGTACGTATTTTTTTATAAGGGTGATATAAGTTTGTTTTTCGTTATAAGATGCTACTAGAAGGATTCATACTTACCTAAATGTCAAAACCCACACCACGTGACACGTGTCAAGTTTTGTATGTATGATTTTTCTTTTCTGTATTTTATCTTAGGCGGGGCGTGTGGGTACGTGAACGACGTGTCACAGCCGCCCTTCTCCTCCATGGTGACGGCGGTGGGCCCGTCGCTCTACAACTCCGGCAAGGAATGCGGAGCTTGCTATCAGATCAAATGCACCGGCAACCCGTCGTGTTCCGGCCACCCGGTTCGCGTCGTGATAACGGATTCCTGCCCCGGCGGCGACTGTGCGTCCGAATCCGCGCATTTCGACCTCAGCGGCACCGCCTTCGGCGCCATGGCGCTCCCCGGCAAGGAAAGCAAGCTCCGCAACGCCGGAGTGCTTCAAATCTCGTACGCAAGGTCTTGTGTTCTAGCCCCTCATGACTCCGAATTTTTTTCGTCGTTAGTCTGTGTTTGTGAAATTATATCGTGTTGGCAGCCGAAATAAATAAAAATGTATGAAATCCCGGTTAAACCACGATTTAACATAAACTACTCTATAAAATTGACATTTTCGGTACAATAACATCTCATACGATTTTGCGATCAAAATAGTCAAAATTGTGATTTTTAGTGGAAGCATTTTGATGACTTTGAAGCATAAACACATAAGCTTTTTAACCTTTAAAATGTAGATCATGACTAAACTTGTCACTCAAAAGAACGAGACGTAGAACCATTTTGATGACTTAGAAATGTTAAAGCGTAAGTTTTTAAATTTTAAAGCGATATTCCTGCTGACTTGTTTTTTTTTTTTTACCCCGTACGTGCAGGGTTCCATGCGAGTACTCAGGGAAAACCGTGACATTCCACGTGGACGCGGGCTCCAACGAGGACTACCTCGCGGTGGTCGTGGAGTTCGAGGCCGGGGACGGCGACCTGGCCACCGTGGCGCTGAAGCAGTCCTCCACGTCGACGGCGGCGGGGCAGCACTCCGACAACAACGACCAGTGGCAGCCGATGCAGCAGTCGTGGGGTGCGGTGTGGAAGCTGGACGCCGGAGGGAAGCTGAGCCCTCCGTTTTCCATCAAGCTGACCTCCCGGTTGTCGGGAGAGACGCTGGTCGCCGATAACGTGATCCCCGTCGGATGGCAGCCCGGCGCGACTTACCGGTCGCTCGTCAATTTCCACTGAGAGAAAATGGTCGATCAGTAATAATTAATTAAGGACATATGTACCTGTGTTGTTTAATGTTCGTGCGTGCTAAAGATGGTAATTTAGTCAAGTACGAGACAACCGGCCATGTGCACTGGTTGGTCACATTAATATAATATCTACTTATCCATAATTCTATATGCTACTGTAAGCCTGTAAGGCCTACTAATGGTTGTACTCATCTCAAAATATGTTGTCTTGGCTTGGATTATCGAGAAAATATAGATGTAACATTTATAGCTCTATCGTAAAGTCGTTCGTAAAAAGAAACTGTCAAAAATAACGCATCATGAAACGAAGAGAAAGTTTTTTTTTTAGTGCAAAAATTGAAAATGTCTTGGCTAGGATGAGATTAATGTTACACAATCAAAATGTAAATCGGATGGTACCACCATTTATCCTAATCATGCATGCAAGTATTAGTCAATATAGTTTACATAATCCATCAAAAACTTCAAGAAATGAGCATCATACACTACAAGAAAAACTGCCTTCCGTAACCGCTATAATTGGTCGTTGAAAGTGCAAAATTGGTTGCAGATACTTTTCTACGACCAAATAATTTTGGTAGCAGAAATGGTCGTTATAGGCGCGTTACCAATTCCTATGGTGACCAAAAAGGAGATTGGTAGTGGATAGAATGGCTATCGCAACCAATATTATCAATGGTAAAAATATGGAATATATAGTTACCAACTTTTTTTGGTTGTACCTTTCAAAAAAAAAAAAAAACCTTTTTTTGGTTGTAATAGTTCCGACTACGACCAATTTATTTGGTTACAAATTTTACTTTTAGTTACCAATTTTATTTTTAGTTACCAATCCTTTTGGTAGTGAACGTATATACACAACGAACAATTATGGTCATGAAAAATACATACGCCCACCAATTAAATCATTAAAGATGACCATTTTCTTGGTTATGAAAGTTTAACACAACCATGAAATTTGGTCGTGAAAAACATATATATCAACCAATTTTGTCATATTAACAACAAAACGTTTTGGTAGTAAGAGTTTAAGGCAACTATAAAATTTGGTCATGAAATGTACATACACCAACCAATAAAAACCGTTAAAATGACTAATATTTTTGGTTGCCAGAATTTATCACAACCACCAAATTTGGTTTTAAAGTTCGTATCCTAACCAATTAATTAATTATTTTATACGCCCAGTATTGTTTCGATGCACAATGGTATTGAAAATGTGTTATGTTCAAACTTGAGCTAATCTAGATAATAAATAAAAGCCGAATGATGAAAACTGTTGCTCCATTTCAAATTTTCTGCAACGAGAGTGATTATAGGAAGGACATTTTGGTCTTCACAATTGCTTATTTTCTTATTTATTTATTCATAAAAAAGGCATGCACCGGGATTCGAACCTTGGTCTCTTTAAAGGCAAGCAAAGATCATAACCAATCACACTAAGTATATTTATTGTATCTATTTAAATTCAAACATACACGAACCTAAATTATGAAAATCATATGACTTTTTTAACGATTAGTTGGCCACTGAATCTCCCGTAAGTACTTATTTGGTGTTTTAATACTTTGATTATTTTAGTTGTAGTTTAATACTTAATTTAAATTTCTATCTATTTTATAAATATACAATAACCCTAAAATTGCAGCCCAAATATCACTGGTTCGAATATTGCATATCGAATTGCAATATTAAACATGTAGAAGCAATATCGACTTCTTAAATTAATATTATTTTTCAGAATTACTGGTTCTTTTAATGTTTTAGTCGGGATAACCGCTACATTTTAAACTTCTTCATAATCTGGCATGATTGCATCCAATGATCATTATACAAGATTGTGTTTAATAGGGTGGCTCATTTCACCACTTTTTGACGTGTTAATGAATTTGTAGGACAATGACAGGTCTACATCTACACTCATCACAATCTACACATCATATAAATGTGAAATGTGAAATGAGAAAAGAGGGATTCCATTTCAAATTTGATGCGTACAGAGCAATTTTTTAGGGGTAAATTTAGAAGATGCCAGTGTGGTCGGTCTGTTGAGCACGAAAGTAAAAATATGTTTTCATTTAAACGGGCCCAAACTGTTATTTGGCCCACTAATCGTGCACCCATCGTCAATGCAGTCAAATTCGGGATTTTGATCGTAAAATCGTAGGATTTTAGGATTTTACTTAGGGATTCCGATCTTGATTATACTATAAAATCGGTGGACCTTAAAATCGTTTAAAATCGGGACTAAAATCGTTAAAATCGTAAAATAGTACCGAAATCGGGATTTTGATCGTAAGAGAACAAAATAGGTGGTTTGAGCCAATTTAAAATAAGTATAACTGTTTCAGCGGAAAGGGCAATGGAATCTTCTTAGATATTTTTCTATTAGAAAAATATTCAAAAATAATAAAAATAACCAAATTAGGGTTCGGTTAATCTCTTTCCCTTCACCCCATTTAACTTATTGGTAAAACACCTGTCCTAATATTGGAAGTATGTAAGAACTAACATCATTATTAACTAATTAATTTATTAATGAATATATTTGTACCAAGCCACTAACATTACTTATTTTATTGGAGTTCAATTATTTTTAGTTTTAAATCATACTTAGTAGACGATGTCGAAATATTACTTTGAGTTAAACAACTTAGGCATAACATGAAAATAAGAGCCAAACCCATGAACTATATCCCTTCATCATGAATTATTTTGAGTTACACATTAAATAACAATTAAAATAGTGATTTTGGAACATTAATCTTGAGAATTATCTTATGGAAAAAAATCTTCCGAATTATCATTTTAAATGCTATGTGTCTTTGTGATATTAATAATTTACCTTATTAATATTCTTATATGCTATGTTCTATATGGTACTTAAAATCCTACGATTTTACGATTCGATTATACGATTTTGATTTTACCCCAGTTTTCGATTTTAGGTAAAATCTCGATTTTAACTGCTTTGCCCATCGCAGCCTCTCCAAATCTTCCTACTCTACTCGCCGGGTCATCTCCTCCACTACAAAATATCTCCTCATGTACTCAAAGTTCTCACTGAAACCTAATATCTACAACTTAGGCGCAGAGGGAGCAACCGATGGATTGTAGCGACCCCCACTATTTTGATAGCTAATCAAGAAGAGCGCGTTTGTTTAGTTGTATGGTGATTCACTTAATTAACAATTTTTATTCCGTTGACAGCCTCCTCTCCGCAATTGTATTGGGTTCACGAAGATCTGAAGGCGCAAGTGCAACAGGTCCAGGGGTAAACAATATGTATAAAGCGTTGGCCAAATTGAATTGAGTCATTCTACTTTGAATATGAAGATTTTTGCTTAATTGCTTTGGTTCGTGATGCAACTATGTTATGTTTGAAGGTAGACCAACGCAAACAACAGCACAGCTCCAGGGCTATTCTGCACATTAGGTAGTTGGGGCATTAATTGATAATTATTTGGGATTATTCCTCCAAGTACATAATTTGGAACGTGCCATTATATCGCATTGATTAATAGTTGTTTGAGATTTTTCAAATGAGTGATTTGACATGTTAAACTCTCTTATTTTTGAAAATGGAGTCTTCGAAGTGGAATATGAAGATTTTGGATTAAGCTTGGTTTCGTAACGCCCTTATGGGTGTTTATTCTCTAAAATGCAGCTGTCTTTCAAAGTGCCCGTTGCAAATGGCAAGTCAGGATACAACGATGGTACCGGTACACGTTTATATCATTAGTAGGTAGCAGATTGTGTCCATTCTACTATATCATTTAGCTAAATACTTAGTTGTTCTTTTCAACTAAAAATTATGCTTAAATGCTGTGATTGGCCTCATAAATGTATGTCTTTGCATTAACTGTTAATGATTGTGAGTTTTGGTTTAATGGTGAAAAGTCCATTTATTTAGAAGTCTAAATTGGGCAAACCTATTGGACAATAGGAATGACATACATTAGTGTCGTGGGAGGTTTGTTTGATGTCTCAGGATGTTAGATTTTTAAGAAGGTTGTTTGTTGTGGCAGAGAGTCCCTAAAGCTAGCGAGGTATTCCTATGTGGGCTTTTTCTTTGTTTGACTTTTTCTCGCCTTTTTTCTTATCTCTTTTTCTATTTTTGGTTTTTGTGTGATACCTTCAGTTGCTACGTCTTCATTTGTGAGCCATCTATACTTTTCTTATTCAGTGCCTAAAAATCATATATACTCGATTGCATAGTAGTTACTAATAGATACATTTATACCAATAGAGAGATTTTAAGTTTTATCAGTTGTTAGTTTTAATATTTACTTACATTGGTTGTTTATGTAGTTTTCTTTGTAATATTTCTCATTATACAACTAATTACTATGCCTACGTAGTTGTATAAGTGGGGGTTGGACATGATAGTTCTTAGAAGCATCAATACTTGAATGTTATTATAATGACCAAATTCTAAAGTTATGGTTTGCCTTCAACTTGCTTGGAGCATTTCAATTATGCATCAATTGTTCTCTCCGTGTAGTTAACTCTCAGACAAATCGAAAATCTTGCTGATATGTGCTTGATTGTAGTTAAATTTAGGGTTCTACTGCATTATTGCTTTACTCTTTTTTCGTGGTTGAGTCTGCTTCAAAAAATTTAGTTTGATTTTAGAAAATTTTGCTTCTGCAGTCCTGTCTTGCCACCAACGCGTTCAATAGATGGAGACGGGAGAGGCGAAGGCTATTTTTGTATTGTTGTTGCTGGTTTAGGGATCGGTTTGTGAAGAAGAGGGAGAAGAGAGGGGGAAAGGGAAATGCAGGAGAGGGGGATAACTCTTTTCTCCGACAAAAAATGGAGTGAAGAAAGGAATTATGATCAGTAAGAATATGGTTATCTTACATAACGGTCGCTATTCTGTTTGAATTGAGCTTGAGAGGCAGTGATAAGGACGAGCTGCAACCAATTCATAGTGAGAAGAGAGCTATGAACTGTGATCATGTCTTATTTCAAGTTAGAAGGTAGTTTCAGTATAAGGATTATTTAATTTGACAAGTTGTTTCGTCCATGATTCTTGGTAGTTTCAGTGCCATTCTAGCCAATGTTTAGTCTGTAATTTTTGAGAATTGATGTGCGAGTAATGACTTTCACTTAGCTTCAACTATTATGTGTGTATTTATTGGCATGTGATAGAATTTTCTTTTCCTTTTCATTGAATTCATTTTCATACTCTAATTGTATTATTTGTACATAGGCAAATCATGCTCGAGATGGCAACTCGCTGATATGGCTGGTGCAAGGAATGAAGCCATCATTAGAATTCAGACCGACAACGGGGAGTGATGCCTAGGACTAATTCAATGATGATTGATGAT